ATTGGGTGGTGGTGCTTTGTAACTGTGTTTTAATCAAACCAAAAAGTGAAGTTTCTATTCTTAATGTGATCAATAAAAAAAATCGGCCCCCCCAAGCACCTGCGATATCCGAAAAAAATGTGACCAAAGTATGCAAAATAATTAATTTATTATTTAAAAATAATGTTTTTATGTATATTGTAACTTAATAATGAAATAATGTTTGATAAAATATTTAAATCTTATTTTTCATATAAAAGTGAGTCTGTTTTTATAGAATATTATATACTTATATACGTACATATTTTTGTACATATATGTACGAGCTCCTAACAGCGGCCTTGTACCTAAGTGTAGTAGATAGAAAAACATATTGTTCGAAAAACATGTTTTTCATAAGTTAATGTTGTTCTTCATACTGTAATAAACTTAACGGATTTGAATGAAATTTAGGATAAAGTTATGTATCCTAAATAATAACATAGGCAAATTAGTATCGATGAATCTATCAAGCAAGCGGCAGGCAGTCATTAGTGTTAAAAAGGAAAACAGCCTATATGTGCCAGATTTAATATCTACTTATTATTTAGAATTTGCACTATACCTAATCATATCAAGCTGTTAAGACTTGTTTAACTTATTTCTAAGTATCCGTATTAATTTGAAACTTTATATTTATCAAGATAATCTGATGATGGATTCATGGGAAAGCGAATCTCTTTAATTACTTAAAGAAAAAAACTATATTGGCTTCTAGTAAAATTCGTACATTATTACAGACTAAAGTCAGTGAAAGGCAAATTTTTTTCACTCGCTTAAACCGGGTTTATTGTTTTATTCGTTGTTTGTTTTATTAGATTGGTAGCTATTATATTACTAAACTGTAATATTATAGGGGAAAATATAATTTTACAGAATATATAGGTATTAGATAAACAAAAGGATAAAAGTAAGTAGGAAGATTATAATCCCTCAACGACACGTCAGCGTTACAGTTAACAATAGATTTCTTAAAAATTTAATTTAGTTTCTTAGAAATTTACCTGGAGGTGATAAATCATTTTTTTATATTTTAGCAACTTTAGATTTAGGTTTGGAGTTAGATACGTACATATGTTACTCGATTCCACAAAATTAAAAAAGGCTTGTGTTCACGTTACCTACTTACTGGTAATCAGGCGAATTATACTGTATATGACCTTAATTGATAAATGCGATTTATTATGATAATAACAGTACGGATGAATTATAATAGTAGATACTCTCATAGCTGTCGAAAGGCTTATAGTAGGAGTTAATGATATTGCAATCTATACTAATATTATAAAGAGATAGTTTGTGAGTTTGTGGCGTCGTCGGGGGTAATCTCTGGATCTACTAAACCGATTTAGATAAAATTTGAGACCCTGGGAAGGACATAGGTTACTTTTTATCCCGGAAATCCTCCCTAAAGGGAGTGAAAATGGGGATAAAAGTTTGTATGGGGAATCAACCTAGGGACGAACCCGAGAGAAGCGAGGGTGAGTCGCTAGTATAGAAGTAAATACGCAATAACCAGCTTACAACTTAACGATACATTATTATAATTATGTTTCTATTTAATTAAATTGTCTTCGTGGCACAATAACTTATACGTATGTATGTACATTGTGCATATATGTAATATTCCAAATGTACTGCCAACCGCAACTTGAGTAGTTTGCTTTCGTTACACTCTACAAACGGCGTAATAGGCACTTACTTAGTACGTCTAGCGGTATGGTCACTACCTCAACATGTAAACTAAACTGAAAGCCAAGCAAAGCCTAGTTACCTATTTAAAAATGTATAATCCAATAGAAAACACTACCACTTTTCATGGCTGTTGGTAAAAGCTTCTCGAAACTTTCATGCCCGAAAACAAAGGGAAAACTAAGTACAATGCGTCCCTATATAATTAAAAGTTACAATAATCATTAACGACTTCACCAAAATGTATTTGTCGTTCATTATTATAAATATATAGGCCACGTCGTATCATTATCTTCACTCTATATAACTCATCATAGCTTATCCATATAATTTCCTAAACTACAAACACAATGAAAAATGACCGAATGTGGCGTAATCCCTGAGTATACATCCCCTACATTGACAAAATGCGTCAACAGGCGGCGGGGGGCATAATTAAAAGAAAAATAAGAGCTATTCATAAACGTCCACCGGAATAGCCGGGTCGTAGCGGCATTATGCCGACCAGTTAAGCCAGACCTCTCTCGGTTCCCTACGTGTACTCAAATACAAAGTAAGATGCCCAGCACAGTGGATTTCCATGGATCATCATTATATAGTCGGAGATGCTTTACCACGGAGGTCCGTTTAATCTAGCTCTTAGGTCGGCACAGGAGGCGAGGTTTACTTTACGCCAACGCGGTTGATTAAGTGGTTACACTGATCTCACGGGGACACTTATGAGGCCAGTAACTCCTAATGAATGACATGAATGATTGTTGCGTGTACTGATTTATGTTGGCCGAGCGCAATCTTAAGCGTGTCGACTTTAAGCATTACTCGCGTTAGGGATCGCACTAAATCCTTAATGAAACGTATGTTATTGTCGTCGTAATATTCAGTCAAGTCATTTATTCTACTTTCGTTCCAAATGTACAGCAATTTATTAATGTTAAATGTTAATACTTTTAAATTATAAGTCTGTTCTATCGGCATAACTTCTTACGATGTAAACGTTATAACATTTAGATTTTTTTTAAATAATTAAGTTTGAATAATACTTAGTAGTAGGTAGTAATTATAAGTAATAAATTATAGAAACCATAATGGATAGTTACATTATCACGCCAATCACGTAAAAACCTACAACTGTCAAAATCGTTGAAAAAGTCAATATTCAGAATTCCAAAACTCTTAACGTCCGATCACCGTAATTACATTTCCCTTTGTACAAAGCGGGAGCACGTTGTTTACAACTCGATACTTTTTTCTCTTTGACAGTTCGCAATTTGTGTAAGTTTGGCGCACGTCCGGCCCATCGATAAGAGCATACTAAATCGAGCGGGTGAAAACTATACGTGCTTCACACTTATTCAATTGAGCCAGCTCAAATGTGACTTAACTTTGACTATGCACCTGTGCCCCGCCGGGGAAATTGAGAATTTCCTTCTTTTATTACATAAGGAATATTATTTGTAATTGTTCGTGTTCAAAAATTCGTGAGATTGTCGAGATTTTGTGATTTCGAGAGGTTGAGAGTTCTCTTGTTATTGAAAATTAATAATTATTATATCATTGAATTCAATTTTTTTTAACAAAATGTTTAATGTCATTTAGATATTATTATTATTATTTTAGATACCTATAATGTTTTTCAAGTCAAATTGATTCCTTGCTTTTCAAAGTAGTACATAATCTTAAGAAATATATCTGCATTTCAATTGAAAATTATTCGATATTTTAACTATGTTTAGTAGAATAAGTTTGATTCCATTATGAATTTTAGTATTTCGATTTTGTTTTATTTTAAATTTATTTGTAGATTTATTCAAAGATTTTATTTTAAATTTAAAGCAGTACTAGAAAAGTGTAGCTTTTGGAACTACTTACTTTTTTTATAGATATATTAGTATACGCACACGTATACTCTTGTTTACTTTTTAAATATACCTACATTTTTATAACACACATGGCAAAGAACAAAGCTAATAGTTATTAAGAATAATAATTACACTGCTTTAGTAATTTGAGACAATGCAATTATTCTATCTAAAGAAGGTAACATTCAAACAAAGAAAGCCCCGAGACAAAATCCTATTTGCTTTTGTTCCACTGGAAATGTCTAACGACTACTAATGTTGATTAATACTGAGAAATGCATTCTATTCAACAATTTCAATATTTCAGCAAAAAACATAAAATGATTTTAAGTCGACTTCCGTTCTGAAATCACAAAATCTCTAAATAATTGTTAGCTTTATATAGTTAAGTCGGTTTAAACGGTCACGCGAACTTCATTGAATTCGCAGTAATGTATAATGTACATAACAATATTATACTAGCTATTTATATCGCATAGCCGCGGTGTTATTCAAATATCATTTCCTTACGACGCGATGGTCGTTTACTACCACATAAGTTTGAAACTTTAATGCCGTATGGAAAACTTAACTCGAATATAAGTGCGATTGTTTTAAGTTTGACGTAATTTCTTGCTTCTTGTTTGGAGCCTTGTAACTTTGTGTTGAAATTTTTTATTTGTTTCGTTCTCATAATAGAACAATGGTTGTCAATATGACATCGGAGAAGAATTTTGTTAGTAGTATATTTACATATTTACATTTTACATATAAGAAGTATTAAATTGTTTATAAATAACTCTGAAAATATACTACCTATTTATTCTAAAGAAAATTACAAAAGAAAAGACTAACATTTTAAGGTTCTTTTTAAAGCCATGTCTGCCAGCGAGCAAAAATTAGTAATGGATATAAATTAGCAATAATAATATTATGTAATAAAGCAAGCAATCATCAACACCTAAACATCTAAACGTGTTAAAACAAACCAGTTAATTAAATGTATTACTATTTAATTAATTTCATGAGCAGATCACGTTGTAAAATTACTCTCAATTAAAGTAACACTGTATTTTGAAATAACAAATTAATATACTTACTTACTTCATTTTAACTAAAAGAGAGATGGGTCAGTCTCTGCCGTGACTATCATTGCTGTAAAGCATTTAAAACGTCGGGAACAAAAAATTTAAATAAATTTGCGAAAAAATCCAAAAAGATAGTTTTATTTGAAATATGAAATATTCGCGTAAATCTAAGAAAGTATTATACTTACTTTAATTCGGAACTTAGAAAACTAATTGAACGATGTTGATTGAGCTTGTTAGTTCATCATTGTGACCTGCATACTCAAGGAGCACCGAGCATATACTCAGAAAGTTTCTTCTTTATACTTAGAAACAAAAATGTTCAATTATCTGAAGTATACTACAATGATGCCTTTATTTGCAGGCACCCTGCAAATTGTGAAGAGCGAGGAGGAAGATCAAGGGAAGTTTGAGTGTGTCGCCGAAAACGCCATCGGCACTGAGTTCTCCAAGCCCACTTCTTTGTATGTTAAAGGTGAGTTACTATAGAAAGTTTTCTTCATTAAATTGTTTTGTAAAACTACTTGTAAATGAAATAGAGCCTTCATAATAATCTTAAATGTTCATATATCGTTCGAAATTTAAATGTAAAGCTCTTTATTTGAAGAATCTCGAGAAGAAGGAATGATTGTAATATATCATAAATAAATCTCAGAAAATAATAAACTATTTCGAGACTCTTAAGATATTCAATAACACTTGAGAATAATTGCTAATGTAAATAAAACGGCAATTGTTATTATTTGTTCATTCGTTATTACTGGTACGTTTTTTCGTGAAATTTCTTAGGTTATATTTTAAATAACGCTCACGCTCACTAGTATTCTACCTTTTTGACCGAATTCAAATTTTTTGTGGGTCTGTTATACGATATTTTCACTAAATGATCAGTTACATCAATATTAAAAATAGATTTTACCCCTTAAGATGGAATAATTAAATTATAAGTGTTGAAGTCGGTGTATCGCTTTTGTTAACAAAAAATATTTATAATAATAAAAAGCCCAACTGCGTAAAAAGCGAACTAAAATGATGAAAACAAGTTGACGAATGAACATACGAGTAGAATTATGCAGTTGAAGATACACACACGCAGCTATTATAAAACAACATATTGGCTTTTTACGCAGTCGGTTTTTTTGATTTTGTAAATTTTTGATTTCTTGTTTTTTAGCATTTCACATTCCAAATGTTCATTTAAACACTAGATAGATTTTGTGGAAAATGATTTTTTAAGATATATAATAATATGGCGCCAAAAATCGGCCATTTTAATTTTTATAATTTTTATATGTCACTCTGATAATTAAGACGAATCTAACAACGACATCTTTTTACGCTACATCGTTTAGGCTACAGATCGTGCCAAAAAAATATGCATAGGTACTTACATACATACACTCGAAAAACATAATCCTCCTTCTGGCGCAGTCGGGTAAAAACCAATCGACTGCATAGCCAGTTCTATTCGCACCGTCCTGCAGCTCATAAACTCGTTTGGTATGGCGTGGTTTACCAAAGCGTGTAGAGTAATTTATATTTATTGAACCAAAGATAAGCCCACTCTATATATCATCTAACGTAATTGTTACGTATTTCCCATTTACAGCGTTGCACACTGGAAATTTTTGTTCCATTTTTATCTCTTCGCAATAAACCCTGTACTTTTATTTTGTTTTAATTGAAATGAATTGACGTCTTAACTCTTAAGATGTAATAAAATGTACACTGTTTTCCTTATTTGTGTATATTGTGCAGTTTCATTCAATTCAAATTATTTAATATCATCGACTCTAACTACCTTCTTCGAATGAAACCGGCCAATTAATTACCTAAGGTTATTGGCTTTTGTTATTTGTACACGCCCATGGCTTGAACTCCCAATCAGATTTATAAACCCTTTTGTAGCTATGTATTTATATAGGATATACTAACACACGTTAAGACCCGTAGGAGAGTACTATAGGGCATGAACATTGTACACTGTACATAAGTAAACCACAATATGAGCGCAGAGGCAGGCAATAACTAATAATTTAACAAATAAATAAATAAATAAATATCTTGGGACATTAATACGCAGCACCATCTAGTTCCATGGTATTATAAATATAAACACCCATGACTGGAGTACAAACATTCGTGCTAATCACACAAATGAATGCCCCCAGCGGGACTCGAACCCGCGACCGCTGGCACCGCAAGTAGGGTCACTACCAACTGAGCCAAATCTGTCGTCATACAACATATAACACACTCAAAATAAAATCAACATAGGTATAAAAAGGGGGTAAGTTGAGCGCCGATAAATAAGCTTATAGATTTGAGGCAAAACGTTCATCAAGTTTACTTTAGTCCATAACACGCAATTTGAAACGGGGGCACCCAGTTGGCCGCAAACACTCGTATGTTTACAACCGCCGCTGTTACAGCGCTGTTCAAAATTACATATGGGGGTCGTTATTTTGCACTGCAGCGCTTTATTATCAGGGAAAGTAGGCTGCGGTGAGAATAATATTCGCAGTATATTCGCATGAGATACCGTCGGTACGCTAACTATCTCGCTTCAGATTTCCGTGACTGATTGTGCTTAAGTGCTTACAATTTATAAGGACGTAGGGAATCGCGTTAAGTTTTTTTTTTGATCTTTGTTCAACAAATGTTTGTTAAGTATCTATACTAAGTCTAAGTTCTTACTCAGTTTAGCTCATTTTGTTTCATTTGGAAGTCGATTTCCAAAAAGGAGGAGGCTCGCAATTCGTCGACTTCGAAAATATCTGATTAGGTATCTATTCTAGTTGAAAACCCCCGTTTAGTTATTGTTTTACATTTTAGTGCCTGCAAGTCGTTTATTTTTAATAATATAATTACTACGTACTAGTTAATACTCTTTTCAGATTTGCGCCAATTCATTTGAAACTTAATTAAAGAAATACTGTACCTAATAGTATATAATATATTGTAAATGCTATGAATACGCTTTACAAAGTGCACTTGTCGAGTCCACTCCGTGTAATTGTTTGGGACGTTCGAATTAAAAGCGTCCAGCGAGAACAATAACTACCCATAGTTATATGTTCTGATTGCAAAAAGTACTTTTTCCTGAATATATTTCCGACATGAATATATAAAATGTCAATTTTTAAATCATTGTATCCATTCAGAATTTATTTACACTTCATAGTACAGTGGCTATATACCTAAATTCGAAAGAATTTATATAGCCCCTATATAGTATTTTTGTGTAATATATAAAATTTGTATGTATATATGCGCAGGAAAAAGCTTCAGTCGCCCTTTCATGTCAATACAAAATACTTTAAATATGTGTAAGTTGATACAAAATCATATGAACTTACGCATCATCGCATCACCTCACTACCGCATCACTCGCTTTTTATTTAAAGTTTTATCATGAACTGTGAGTGAATTTTAATTCACATTCATATTTCCCCAAAATTGATATCGACACAAATTATTTCCTTCTCCTAACTACAATACAGGACATGGGATAGTACTTGTATTTAAGCCTTTTTAACCGACTTCCAAAAAAGAGCAGTCGGTGCCAGCCGATGCAAAGCATATCTAATATATTTCGATACCTAAAATACATCACAAATTGATGTATATATTTTAACTATAATTAGAGTTCGTACCAAATCATATTTACCTATTAGATATTTAATCTTAAAATATTGTAGGCTGGCACCGGCTTCGAAAATATCTGATTAGGTATCTATTCTAAATGAAAACCCCCGCTTAGTAATTTTTTACATTTTACTGTCTGGAAGTCGGTTTTAAATTTTTTTTAAGTTTTTATTTATTTTAGGTAGTGGTAGCCCAGTAGTAACGCGCTTGCTTGGGAAACCGAGTGAAGCGGGTTCAAATCTCGGGTCTCGCACCTCTGTTATTTTCATGTGCGAATTATTTCTAACATGATTACCACTTGCCTTACGGTGAAGGAAAAATATCGTGAGGAAACCTGCATGTCTGAGAGAACCTAACAAGTTTTCGAAAGACATGTGAAGTCCGCCAACCCGCACTTGGCCAGCGTGTTGGACTATGGCCTGATCCCCCTCGTATTGAAGGGAGGCCCGTGCCCAGCAGTGAGACGTTAAAAAGGGCTGAATACAATTCATTTTATTTATTTTGCATTCTAATTTCTAGTGTCTATTATGAAAAATAGTACCTATGGCAGGTTTTAAAAGTACTATTTAAGGCATTCAAATTCCTTTTTCTTTTAAATATCTACACATAAAGAAAACGCGACGAATGGGTACATTCTTTCAGTAATCATCGAACCTACGAATCATAAGCGCCAAATGAGAACGTGACATTGCAATCGCAGCAATAGCTTTGTTCGTCGGTAAATTGAAATGTATTGTTAGATTTTAACGATGAACGAAATTGAAGTAAAAGTTTATTTAGGTTCGTCGAAACACTTAGTGAAGCTTAAAATAACGTAATTTATTAACTTTTGTCAGCTCATAAATGAATGATTAAAAGATGAACGATCAGAAATATATTTATTCATACAATTTCTTTGTTGTTCGTTGCAATTCGTACTAATATAGTAAATGTAAACCTTTTATCGAAATTTTATTTATGAAATTTTAATGTTTGGCGAGGACATGGAAGATAACATCAAGAGGACGCTCACAGTGAGTGGAACCGCGAGCAAAAAGTTAACTAGTATTACTTTAATAATGTTCTCATGTATGTAATTATTACTTGTCGAAATCAGAGAGTTCGTTATTCATTCAACTGAACTTTAAAATGAAAAAGCTTTTGGCTTTATTTCGATCTACTGCTTGTCTTTTACAATTAACTAAACTATAAAATAAATCCAAATGGCACCAGAATGGCAAAGAAAAGAGAAAAATTACATTTGACACATTTCATATCTACCTGTAACGGTTTAAGCTGTGGTCTAACTAATATTTTTTCATCGAATTCAAAAAGATCTCAATCAATCAAACGAAAGATCAAATAGATGCCTAAGTCATTATAACCAGATATATGACTAAAGAAGTAAATAATAATGATGTCTGTAATTATAGAAAACTATACTTTATATATTCGTTTTTACATGGTCGGATAATATTTGTACAAACATCTACAGATCGTCCTGTGTAAACAGTTTCATTAGGATTTTTAAAGATCTGGTGAGTAAATTTTAAAGATTAGATATCTCTCCCATGCTTCAGTTACGTAAACAAGAGTGAATACTCGTTTTGCGATCTACATAAAAGCCCCTGGCTGGTGACTTGAAGTGAATAACGAAATAGGGAAACTTAAAACGTTGGAGTCTTATTGAATTAGTCCGTAACTTGACAGAAGGGACTCGGATTATTCAACTTCAAAATGGTATGCCTCCGAGCTTCCATTGAAAGTCCTTAGTTAAGTTTGTTTATCACCTAGTTCTCATCAGAGGCTTCGCCCAATATTAAAACAACAGAATAATCTTAACATAAC